GTTATAGATCAGACCAAGCCTAAATCCTTCCAGGTTGTTCCTTCGCTGAAAAGAAAAGAACCTCATCAGTTACAATCTGCATTTCAAAACAGAGAAAAGTGACGATTGGTTATAGATCAGACCAAGCCTAAATCCTTCCTAGAAGCAAAAATGACAAAACTGAGGCTATTGTACCTTGGCCACATAGAAAACCTTCTAGAAGAGACAACGTCAGGAAAAATGGGACGTGGTAGGAAAAGAGGAAGACTAAATGTGTGATGTATTGACTCACTAAAGGAAGCCTCAGCCTTGAGTTTACAAGATGAGGGCTTTTCAAGACAAGACCTTTTAGACGAAGTCATTCATTTGTAGCACCGTTGATAAGTCGGAAGTAAATTAACAGCATATGATCACGACAGCAGAGAGGGCCTGAAGCAAGTTTCTTAAAATGAAGACTATAATAAGGCATATCTAAAACTGACTTGGACAATGTGCCTGGTAAAATGCTGTATACGCTCAGTACTGCAGTATGGCATAGCCTTGTGGATTTTAGAACAGGTGACTATAAAAACAAGATAGCAGCCTTTGAAATACGGATTTATCACGGGAAGCCAAAAAAGCTTTTGATCAAGAGGACCGAAAGAAGCAGTACAATGAATGAAGAATGCCTGCGAGTCATTAAGCGTAGAAAGCAAGAATGGTTTGCTTACATAACGAGAAACAGGACGTACATCCTATTAAAGCTGATTGTTCAAGGTGAAATAAATAGATATGAAGGGGGGAGGGTCTTCTTCGTTAAAAGGTTTGCTGCAAAAAATGACATCGTTTAGAGGTGCTGCATTTGGTCAGAGTAAATTGGATGAGGCCCAGCCTCTGATAGGAAAAGAACAAGAAGAAGGGTATTTATACGAGTGAATGAACAAATGAACGAATTTATATCCCACCTTTCTCCTAATAAACAGCCACTAAAAAAAATACATATATTTTAAAAAATCACTAAAATATCGAAACATTCATGTTAATGTATGGTTGAACCAACAAGGGTGTTGAAAACTTGACTGTTCGAAAGAAGTTGAAACAAAGTTGTAGGCATGTAAAGGTTTCAACAAGAAACACAAGAGCAAATAAAAAAAGATGTGGCCCCTTAATGACTAACTCCTGTATTTTGATGTAAGCTTTTTTGTAACATGGTCTGTTTCATCAGACATCAGAGTCAGAAGACAGAGGCTACAGGGTAGAATATTAATGCATGTCTAAGATAAAGGGGCAGGGGTATTTGGCTGCATTTCACACCTAGTCATGATTTATGGTTTCCCTCTTCCTCATTGTAGATAGGTTGGGAGATGTACCTTGACCAACAATGGCTGGAATCCTGTTGCGCAGCTCCCTGCGATGCCATCATAATCAGCAGCAAATTGGTGCTGATTAAAGGCAAATTGCTGCTCATTAAAGGCGATTTCATGGTACATGCTTGTCCTTCAGTGCGGTGACGTCCTGTGGACCCCAAACTCAACGAAGGATGCCTTGATATCAGTGGTGATCTGCCACTGCTGATGACATCATCTCCCTTGCATGCACAGGGATGCGCAACAGGATTTTAGCCGGTGTCAAATATAGTGTGCCAATGGGGTGTGGTGGATGGAGTGCTGAAGAGGCAGTCAGAGAGGACCTGAGTTCAAATCCTCACCTTGGCTGTTGACTTTTGGATCAAGGCCACTTTTCTGACCGGACCCTACCCCACGGGGTTGTTATGAGGAAGAAAGAAGGAGAGCCGTGTATGACTTCTTGAGCTCAGATAAACAGGATTAAAAAAACACAGAAGGGGCATTCCAAGACCACAGGAAAAATGCAGACTAGTAATCTCTTCGAATTCAAAAAGCTAAACTACTTATGTTATAAGAAGTCTTTGGTAACTGCATCTTCTTTCCTCCACCCTTCCCCCTTTATCTATGGGTCCAGATTTTCCTGGCCACCCCCCTGCTTAATTGAACCCAGCCCCTCTACAAATCTCTAGGTACCATTCGTGGATCAAAGTGTGAAAGCTTTTTGGAAACGTTGAAAGCTTAAATAGACCTTCCTAGTGCCGCCAGATAAGGTTTGACGGCAGCCTTCAGCTTCCGGCCATGTTGAACTGCAGTCCTCTCGGACCATGCTGGCTGGTGGTCATGGGTCTTGTAGTCCCACAGGCTTGAAGAGGAGCAGGGTGGCGTAGATCTGATGGGAAAGAATGTAAACCGCCACAAATCTCTTACGTGGTCCACTTGGTCTGGATTTAGGAGCTCCTGCGTGTAGCACAATTCCTTCATTGGTGGGGGGAGTTCAGCTAGATCAGTAGTTCTCGAAACTTGCCTCACCAGATGTTCTTGGACTACAACTCCCAGAAATCCCAGCCAGCGTAGCTGGTGGTGAAGGCTTCTGGGAGTTGTAGTCCAAGAACATCTGGGAACACAAGGTTGGGAACCACTGCGCCAGATGACCCTTCTGCTCTGCTATGATTCCGTGCCTGTCTTTTAAAATGGCCTCTTCTTGCTTGCCTTTTCTTTCTAAGGACCTGTTTCCACGTGTTTTCCTAATTTTCTGTCCTGGAATAGTTACAAGGGTCTGAGGAAGTGGACGTGATCCACCACACCTCCCATTAAAATGTAGTTGTTAACCTTTAAGGTGCTCCAATGCTTTTGCATCCTTTAAAAAAAAAGGAGTTGTATTTGCTTTGTTTCTTGACAAACAGAGCTGAAAGCCTATCCATTCTGAATTAGAAGAAGGCAATTTCTTCTTTGGGTGTTGAAGTGCTTGTCACATTGCCAGCTTCCAGAGAGCACAGCACGCTTCTCCCAAGGAAGAAACGAACCTTCGTATTTTTTTAATAAAATATAACATCGCTCTAAGGACAAATCCTTGCTAAGCCACCTCTCACAACAGTGCAAATATATATTTTAGGGGTTCAAACACTGGACCTATGTGCATGGAAAAGTGAGTTTGGAAGATGAACCCTATTTTCCTTCTGCCTTCCAGCGGAAAAGACCCGGGACATGATTTTGAAAGGGGTTCAGCTTTTTTTTGTGACATGTTTTGAAATAAAAATCTGTCCGTGCTCAAAGGATTGTGTTTTCCTCCTGATGGGCTGGCTCTGACATGGCACAAAATGTCAAAGCTGCTGAAGAGGACAGAGCTTGAGCACATTGGTTTTTTTGGGTGGGGGGATTCTGGGTTTTGTAGTCCACAAACAAGCAACGTTCTGAAGCTCCTGATAGGAGTGGTAGTGGTAGGAGAAAGGAAGCAATCATTGGTAGTCGTACAGTACGGCAGTCTCAAGAGAATGTCGTCTGATGGAGCCTCTCACCCGTCATATGTTGGGAGTACAATATCCATACTCCCTTAACCATGTAGACTCATAGAATAATTGAGTTGGAAGGGGTCTATAAAGCCATCTAGTCCAACCCCCTGCTTCCTGCAGGAGTCCAAGTCAAAGCAGATCTGAAAGATGGTGGTCCAATTTCCTCTTGAATGCCTTCAGCTTTGGAGAGCTCAGCGCCTCCCAGAGTCATGGCTTCCACTGTCATACTGCTCGAACAGTTGTTTTTCCTGATATTCAGCTGAAATCTGGCTTCCTGTCGCTCGAGCCCATTGCTGCGTGTCCTGTATTCTGGGACAATCGGGATCAGATCCTGCCCCCTCCTCTTTCAAATCAATGAAAAGGGCTCTCTCCCCTCAGTCTTCTTTTCTCAAGGCTAAACAGGCCCAGTCCGTCCTGTTCCTACCAGGTCACCGGGGCTCCACATTCTCTGCCTTAAGACTGCTTCATCTGGGGCTCCACATTTCCCCTGCTGCCAATCTAAGGTGTCCTCTTTGTGAGAGGCAGTTCCCCCACCCCCCCGTTGCCCTCCTGCTCTGCTGGAACAGCTTAAGTCCTATTCGTGTCTCATTTAAGAAAGAGGGAGAGCAGGGACTTTGAAGTGACCCCCGTCACGCACACATCAGCCCGGAGGCTTCAGCGATACACACGCACAGGTCACCGGGCCACTGTCACCCGCCTGTGAATGGGAAGCATTCCACCTTGGTCTGAAATGATAATTTTAAAAATCCCGTTTAATTTCCCATCTGTGTACCTAGATTAGCAGATGCAGCTGAATTGCAATTGGTGTCTTCCTTTGGTGATGACGTAAAAGGGACCAGCCTGCATGTCCCCTCTAAATCTACCGAGAAACTAGCGGGAGGGGGTGTTCTTTGGACCACATCCCTGATGATGCCTTTGCCATTTTTAAGAGGCCGTTGCGGTGAACGTATACAGAGAAACGGAGGCCGTGGAACTCCGTCTTTCTGCGCAACAACCTGGAGCTCAGGTTTGGGGGCTTCCAACGGAGGCATCCCGAATCACGTGGCGCGAGGAAACTTTTCCGAAGTGTCAAAGAAGCCAGCGCCGTTCCCCTCCTTCCACCCCGCCTCGGGCTGGCGGCCCTGGCCGTTCCGTGGAGAAGGTCGGGAGATGCCGAGAGGCAGCCGAACTGCCAAAAAGAATCAAGCCCGCCGCACAAATTTGCGGAAGTTTGACAAACGTGTCGGGGCTCGGAGTGGCTCAGAGCGGCGTGACACGCCGTGGCACCCATTCCCCCAAGTGCTGGGTATTTCTTAGCCTGGAGAGCCTTTTTACCCCAGCATTTGAAGCTTATGAGAACCCTACCATGAATATTAGTATTTAGAGGGTTCCCCCCCACACTCCCTTATGACGGCGGGAGATCTCCGCGCAGGTTTCCAGATGGCGGCTGTGGGTACCCCCTGCGTGGGCCGCGGCCCATCTGGACGCGGGCATTTCCATCCGGCCAATTCTGCTAACGATGACGAAAGCACCAACTGGCCTTTCCTTCCCTTTGCTGAGTGCATTTTGGGGGGGGGAGGGGAAATGCTGATTGGAGCTGAAATGACATCTGCTCCCGGTAAGCGTTTGGTGCAAGGCGCCAGCGGGCAAGGTCTATTTCTGACATTTCCGGGCTGCCCACTGAGAGGTGTTTGCGTGTGTTTTTCAGGAACCTTGGAAAATCGGGACTGCGCGTTTCCTGCCTCGGCTTAGGTAAGTCGGCACCTGCTTTAGGCCCACCGTTCCGCCCCGTTTGCAGGGCTGCTGGTCTCACGCCAGCGTCCAGAACAGCAAATCCCTACCCGTTGCTTTTCTGTTAACTGGGTCCAGACGGTCATGACCCGCAAATGTTGTTTAACAGGCACTTTCCTTCCTGCAGAAGCACCCCCTGGTGGCTCCTTGAGAAATCAACGTGCAGTGCTCTGCAAGGCACATGCGGGTTGTTAAGTTAACTCCAATGCATTTGTCATCAAGGGCATCGCTAGACTCTGTTGCACAATGGCTCTGGAGGGAGAGGCAGCCGCAACGACACCGTTTTCTGTTTCGCCTTCTTGCCTCGTTTGTGCCCTACGAGTGCTCAATTGGCAGAGAACATACTTTTCTTGCAGAGGGCCTAAGCCCTTTGCACATGCTCAGGATCTGTGAAACAGCAGTTCAGTCTTAAGGCAGAAGTAAAACTCGGTGCATCTAAACCTGCAGGAAAATTTTAAAAATGCTTCTACTGGAGGGTTTTTCCTGCTGAAATTTGGGGGGGGGACGGACGGACTGGGGACATCCTACAAAAATAAGCAAGCCCTACTTGTTGAGTAGTTCCTACTGAAATTTGGGGGGGGGGGACTGGGGACATCCTACAAAATTAAGCAAGCCCTACTTGTTGAGTGACTTCTCCCAGTTTGCTGACAAGTGGGTTGCAGCCCATAGCAGATCCAGAGAGGAAGGCAGAATTGTCTTCCAGCTACACTGGGGCTGCACACTCTTCCTATACCTCCAATCCCCCACCCCCCGAAAAACAGGGCTGTCTTCAGTCCATCTCTCAACTGCCTAGAGCAGCCGTGTTCAACCTCTTTTTGGCCACAGGTATAAAAGCAAAATTTTAAAAAAGCAAAGTGTGCTGTTTATATACCACCCCTTAGTGCTTCAAGCACTCTCTGGGCGGTTTACAAGTTAAATTAGTACGCAGGCTACACATTCCCCTCACCCTCCATGATCTGGGTACTGTACTCATTATACTGACCTCGGAAGGATAGAAGGCTGAGTGAACCTTGAGCCAGCTACCTGGGATTAAACCCAGGTTGTGAGCACAGTTTTGGCTGCAGTCCAGCAGTTTAACCACTGCGCCGCGAGGCTCTCATATAAACACAATATGAAAGACAGGCCAAATCTGGGATTGTACAAACACAATATGAAAGAAAGACAGGCCAAATCTGGGATTGTACATAGAAGCCACATAACGGACCTTATAAAGTGGGGTGTGGATAATTGTTCCCAGTCTGTGCCCCTCCGTCCAGTGGGCCAAGGGCGCCCCAGGGGGCCATATGGCCCCCATTGAGAATGTCTGGACTAGATAATGAATGACCATGTTTTCTTTTTCAATTATAATTAAAAATCCACTCACCTTTTAAAAATTCTGTCTCTCTTCCCCCCCTCCCCCCATTTCCAGGAACATGGGTGACCTTTGGAGGACAGATCACCGACGAGGTAAGAATTTCCTTTTCCCGTCTTGAAGCTCTGCTTCCCGCAGGCGGTGGTGGAGAACCATCGGGCAGGTACAATCGTGGCAAAGCTGAGTGTACTTCTCAGCACATCCTCAGTGTCTCTCTTAACAGATGGCGGAGCAGCTCATGACCCTGGCGTACGACAACGGCATCAACCTCTTTGACACGGCAGAGGTCTACGCCGCGGGGAAGTAAGTGCAGTTCGTTGAGCTCTGAACATCTTGCTTTTCTCCTATATCCCTGTGGCTTTCCTTCATCTCATGGGGTTTCCCCTCTCTTCCATTCCAAACTCCAGGAAATGGGGCTTGTTTTGCAAATTCCGGTAAAGTTCTCAAAAACTGGGATGATATTCCCCAGACAAATTTAAGCAGGTTCTTCCACGGAGAGAGGACCGAGAAAGAAGCTCCCGAAACTTTCTTAGGATGGATGAGCCCTGCCACTTCCTCCCGGGTTCACGTTTCTACGTGCAAATTCTGGAGGAATTTTCAAATGTTTGAGGCATTTTTGGGGGAGGGGGAGAACAGATTCTGATCATCCTTTGCTACAGCCCGGGAGGGAAGGCTGGTCTTCTGAGTCCACAAAGAACCGAGTCTTTGTGGACTTTTGCACAAGAGTTTGCCTGTCGCAGGCCTGCATGAGTCCCTGCTCTGGGCTCATGCCACCGGCTGCTGCACCCTTTTGCTAATTCCCAGGCTATGAATTTTTTTTCCATTCCAAAATTTCCTTTTAGACTAATGACACCGGGTCTGATTCTGCCATTTTTTTTTGCAAGGACTCAAAATATTGACCCATAGCAGTTGCAAGAGGGCTTGTTAATTATTTTGTGTTTTAGCGGTTGTGTAAGAAAAGTGAGAATCGTGGAAACAGGCACAGCTCTGCAGCGGTGGGTGGGTGTAAGGCCCTGTGTAGAGCAGCCCTTTTAGACTGTAAGTCATACAGTTACCTGCTTTGAGAAGAGGTCTCTGTTGCATCTCTGCATGAGTCTGTGTTCCAAGAAAGCTACTGAATTGGGAGGAGACCATCTATCGGCTGTCAGACATTCAGAAGAGCATTGGCCTGACTCTTAAAGGGTGGCTTCTGTTCATTATCCCACTCAAGCCCACACGTTCCGGGTAGAATGCCACCCTCTGAAACCGCACAGCCAAATCCTCTTCCCAGTAGCGGCTTTGGCTTCCATTCTCTAATGATCACATTGCATGTCTCTCTTCCTCTGTCTTTTAGGGCTGAAGTGGTGCTAGGGAATATCATCAAGAAGAAAGGATGGAGGTAACCTTCCCCGCCCCCTTGAACCAGCTTCTGCTCCTGACCCAATGATGTGGGGTAGAACTTTTAGATAAATTATGTGCAATAATCAGAATAAAAATAGAATCCCCTAGGACCACAGTATCCATGGGGGTCTAACTTCCAAGCTATCCTGGTGGATGCTGAAAACTGAAAATGCAAGCCGTATATATACAGTGGTGCCCCGCAAAACAATGTTAATCCGTTCCATTGAAATCGCTGTCTTGTGAAAACATCTTGCGAAATGCGATTCCCCATTGGAATGCATTGGAATCCGTTTAATGCATTCCAATGAGGAAAAATTGTTGTCATTTTGCGAAGATCGACCATAGGGAGGCCATTTCGCGAAGCACCGATCAGTTGTTAAAATCGCTGTCCTGCAAAGCATCGGTCCTGAAAACACCCGTTTTGCGAAGCTGCCCATCAGCTATTAAAATCGTCGTCTTACAAAGCATCGGCCCCAGGAAAAAAAACCCTGTCTTGCGAAGCACGGACTGAAACATTGTCCAGCGAAAATCACCCATAGGAAACACTGTTTTGCAAAGCGCAATGGCGATCGCAAAAATTCATCATCATGCAGATGTGTCGTTTTGCGAGGTCATCATCTAGCAGGGCACCACTGTATATAGCATAGTCTTTGGTTCCCTGTGGTGGCCAGTTCTGGTAGTGCACCTGGGAAATGCATATTTCTGGGGAGGGGGGTTATTTAACATTTTCAGACAGTGGAGAACTACAGTAAAACTGTGGATACTGATCCCGTGGATATAGCATTCCTACTGTTTGTCTGCTTCAGAGACCAGGTTCTTTCCTTCTGGATCAGCAAAATGGGTCCATAGCAGGCTTTAGAGCTTCAGTTTATTACAGGGTTCCTTTTCTAAGCATGATGAAATCTGGATCCGACCTGATAGATGTTTTTTCCCCCCCATTCCTTATCTTATTCCTTTTAATTTGCCAAAAAAATTGTTTTTACATATTTTTCCCCCTTCTGTGTCTCCTTGCAGACGGTCGAGCCTGGTGATCACAACCAAGATCTTCTGGGGAGGAAAGTATGTTATTCATTTATTGGTTTGTTTGCTTGTTTTTATTTATGTATTTATTTTGGTGATTAAAACCCTGCAGTCTTTGAGCCAAGGAAATGCAGCCGGGGCCTCCCAGGCCACCTTTCTCAAAGTGGCTCTGAATTTGTGTCCTGCCTTTTCTGCCTCTGCTGCCGTCACAGCTCCCTTTTAAGGCGAACGGGAGGGAGATGAGCCTCTGAGCATGTCCAGAGTGCACCCTCCTCGCCTCACCCCTTCCACAGCGAGATCTCTGAGACGGAAACTCGGTCTTTTCTTGGGTGGGTTCTTCAGGCTTCCTAGAAGCCCTGGGAGGTCTCTTGCTGTCTAGGTGCCCCTAGGAGGCCAAGGACTGTATGGTGTAGTGGTTATCTCTTTGGCCCAAGCTGGTGAGATCTGGGTTGTACTGGGTCTTGGGAGACGGGGGGCGTTAGTCACAATGGGTGTGTTCAAGGACAATGCTTCCCATAAAATACTGCGCTCCAAACAGTTCACGACAGCAGATCCCTCCACTAGTCATCCTTCAGATGCATCTCCCTAAAATGACAACGTTCTAACTTAGCTTAATTATTACAGTTCATGTAAAACAGGCTGTGGCCGACCTGCTAATGGTGGGCCCTCTCCCTTTTCACCCTCTAGAGCAGAGACAGAAAGGGGACTTTCGCGAAAGCACATTATAGAAGGTGGGTCTGCTCATGGAAGTCTGGGGAGGTGGCATTCAGCTGGGAAGCACAGAATGGTGGGAGTTGGAAGGGAACTTGGAGGTCATCTAGTCCAACCCGCTTCCCGTGTGGGAGACCCACTGCTGATCTGTTTTTGTCCCCTACCCCGCTCTCTAGGCTTGAAGGCTTCTTTAGAACGGCTGCAGCTGGAATACGTGGACGTGGTGTTTGCTAACCGGCCGGACCCCAATACGCCGATGGAAGGTAAGGGCACCTCCCACACGTGGGTCATGCTCATGGTGCATCTGTCATGGTGCAGGGGACAACGAATGTTATTTCCAGGTGTCTAATACCCGGGACACCTGCATACATGCAAAGGCATAGACGCGCCGTTAAAAGCTTTGCTTTCTCCTATGAAAAGCTCCCACAGGCCTACTTTCTGTGTCCCCAAATCACTGACCCTTTGGGGGAGCAGGAGGTGAAGCCAGAGCAGGGACTCGTGCAGAGAGGCAACGAGGAGTCTCCTCCTGAGTCTTCTGCATCATTGAACGGAGATCTTGAAGGCACATCACAGCAACAGATCTGAATGCAATCTTGGTTTAAAACGTCACCCTAACTTGGGGGTCCCTGTGATGCATATTCATTTTAATTAGTAGCAGCTGGGGTAGCAGTCTTTATTATATATCTGTACCATATATTTTTTTCTGAATGAATGCCCTTCCCTGGAAAGAGGTTCTGGATGAGTCAGAGGCACCCTCCATGCATCTCTCGGCGTGAATCACTGTCTATTTGCGCTTCTCGACACGCGCACCCAGCCCACAAGCCCGGTGGAGGAACGAAAGCCCTTCTGTTTGCAAAAACCAGGGGCCGGCATGGCAATTTTTCAGATTGGCTGAGGGCTTTCACGTGCCAGAGCGATGCTCCCTCATGGTCTGTGTGCATTGCGCATGTGCGTTTGGTCCTGCACATGTGCAATTCCAAGGGCTCAAATCCCAGACGGTTTCCAGAAGGTCCACTTCTGGTTTGTTTCCTGTGGGTTTGGGAGGGGTCCTGGAGAACCCCACTCTTGGGAGCTTCCAAGAGCCAAAAAAATAATTCAAACAAATTATTTAAATGGGGGCGTCTCTGAGCCCCCCAGGTTCCCGACACATGGCCCATCCCTCTTAAAAGGTAAGTCAAGACTATTCCTGCCCATGATGTTCCTTAACTGTTACTCTGAGCCACCTTACTCTGGTGATACATTTGGAACTCCTGGAGCGAGCAGGCAGGGAGCATCTCGTCTCCCCTAGAATTGTGGCGCATCGTTCCCACTGTGGTCATGGCTGAAAGCTGCGCCCGCTTTTGAGGAATGATCAAGCGTGGAGAGGGGAGGGTCGCTGGCACCTTGATCAGCAGCTGTGGCTCACAGGTGCCTGCGTAGTGTCTTAAAAAGAATGAAAGAAATAGAGCAAATTTTTGGAGTGATTTCAGCAGGCAGGTCTGGCACCCTGGGACCAAGGTTGGCCTTCTCTCCCCTTTTTCTTATGGCCAAGAGGGAGCTTGAGCAGGGAAGCGGGAACGGGCAGATTGATACTCCTGTTCCCCCGCCCTTCCTGTCGCACCGTTTCTTGCCAATGGCGCCAGCAGCAGCTGTAAACTCTGGTCTCTCTCAAATCTTTCTTTTATCACCAGGGAACCCATTTAGCTCTTCCAAGTCGCGAACATTCATCATAGAAGGTACACTGTACCCCGCCCGTCTTGACTACCTGCATCCGAGTGGCATTTTATGGGAACCGACCCCCCATGCCCCGTTTTTCGTTCTTCCTTTATGTTTGCTGTTTTGCTTTTGATTCCGATTGGCGACGCCTCCCTCGGCTCGAACGGCGGACCAAAACCACAAAAAACAAATACCAAACCCTGTCTCTCCATAAAATGCCCAAAGGAAGCAAAGAAAGAAAAGAGGGGGGAATTCAAAAAACCCCAAATCAAAATAAAAGCAACCTTTTGCCCCTTTTAGCAACATCTTGCAAGTAATACTGAAATCAATTGGCTCCAGTCCTTCTTGACCCTCCCTGAATCATGCCATCTCATCATCCTCCCTTCCTTTCTCCGATCAGTGCATGGCTTCTTCCCTGCTGTTCATAGCTGTGCATTCAAGGGACCTTTGGCCTCCGTGTCTAAAGATTACTCAACGGGGTGACCGTTGACTTGCCATTTCATAGAATCGTAGAAAAGTGAAGTTGGAAGGAGCCTACAAGGCCATCATTTCCTGGCATTTCTGCATTTTGTGATGTGGTTTTATGTCAAGTGGGAACCATTATCATTCCTAAAGCAAAGCAACAGCGGAGCCCCATCCCCACCTCCTGTGGGGAGGTGGGGAGGATTCGATCAGAGGGTTGGTTAGCTGGTTGGTCTTGCTCAGCACAACCAGCTTTGACTAGCGGTGGCTTTCTTGGAATTGAGGGGGCATGAGGGACTCTGCTCCCTGTCCATCTTCAACCGACAAAAGCAAGGGAAGATCAAACACGGGGCCACCTTCCGCACGTGCGGGGCGTTTTTTGATTGTTTAGGTCTCGTTGGCCAAGATCAACTCTCAGAAGTGGAGAGAAGAAGCCCAATAATGTTCATTGGCAATTGAAGGTTGAGTCCTTGTGATGCAGAGCTTCTCAAAGGAGGCTGACAGGAAGGAGGAAGAGCCCAGAACAGAGACTCACCCAGAGATACAGCCCAGGGCTGGGACTCACCAAGAGCCATGGTCCAGAATAGGGAATCTTGCAGGATAACAAAACCACACTCTCCCAAAAAAATTAAACCAGATCCTTCTGTGTGTGGCTGCTTCCCACTGCCATCTGCATTATGCAAGCAAAGAATAAAATAACCAAATAGGACTGAGATGATTCACTTTTATCTATCCATTCATCTGTCTTACTTGACTTTGTTTCTGTGACAATCAATGCCCCAGCGGGTTCCCATCCTCAGGTCCCCAGATGTTCTTGGACTGCAACTCCCAGAAAGCTTGGCCAGCACAGCTGGTGGTGAAGGCTTCTAGGAACTGCAGTCCCAAGAATACTTCGAGGACCCCAAGGTTGGGAACCACTGCTTTAATTTAACCAAGATGCCGAAGCAGTCTCCCCGGGGCTACTTCTTGGGAAACGGTGGCAGCTTAAAGGATTTTATTTGGGTTTATGTGGATTGCACACTGCATCTTCAGGTGGTATATAGGTCATCTTACCATTTATGTTGAATAGACCAATAAGGTGGTCTTTGGAAAAGACTCCCAATGGAGCCAGAACCATATAGACCCCAATGTTGGAAGGATTAAAAAACCAGCAATGGAGAGGTAACAGGTTGAGTGCCTAGTTCCTTATCTCCCCAGCCACCCCAGAACAAAAGGTTGGGGATGCCACGGACACCAGATTAGGATGATTGAAGGATCTCAGTTAGGACTTTGCTTAACTTTCAGTGACAAATCCACGCATGTGCCATGATAAAAGAAACGTAGATCATCTATCCGGAAGGCTTTGTTCTAGCCTTAGTCTGCTTGTTGAATTCTTAGTCCGCTTTTTGGCATGAACTTTGGCATCTTAGCTTTGCCTTGCATGCATTAGAAGCCTTGGCAGTGATGGGGCAGGGCAAGGCATTTCTGATAAAACGCCCCAAACCCCAAAAGGAAGACGTCCCAAAACATCCCCTTTATTTAATTTATTTCATTATTTATTTATTTGCAGCTACTCGCTCAGACACTTTCAAGCATAGCTTCACCACCTGAAGGGCTAGAAACCTGACCTTTTAACAAAACATCCAGGATATTCAATTCAGTATTTCGCACCGGGGGGCCTGAGAGGTTGCCCTTTGCTTAGATTTCAAATGTGTCATAAATAGAGGCGACCTTGTTCCAAGCATCCCGTTGCCGAACCCTTCTCCCGCTCCGAAGATTACACTGTTGATCAAAAGCCAAACCAACGAAGCAGCCTACAGTGGTGCCTCGCTAGACGATGATAATCCGTTCCACTGAAATCGCTGTTTACCGAAATCATTGTCTAGCGAAAAGCATTTCCCCATTGGAATGCATTGAAACCTGTTTAATGCGTTCCAATGGGGAAGAATTGTCACTGTCTAGCGAAGATCGGCCATAGGAAAGCTGCTATGCGAACCGCTGATCAGCTGTTTAAATCGCTGTCTTGCGAAGCTTAGGTCCGGAAAACGCCTGTTTTGCGAGCGCGGAGGGAGCTGTCAAAATCGTCGTCTAGCAAAAAATCGGTTTGCGAAGCAGGGACCAAACATTGTCCAGCGAAATTCCCCCATAGGAATCCCTGTTTTGCGAATTGCTATAGCAATCGCAAAAAGTCAATGTCTAGCGGAAAAAACTGTCATGCGGGGTAACTGTCTAGCGAGGCACCACTGTATATAGATTACAAATAACTTTTGTGCTTGAATCTGTCAAGGAATTTTTCTCCCCAACTTGCTTTAGATATTCGGAGCAGAAAACGTCTTAATGTGGATTAGAGAGACTGCAACTCTGAAGCTAACAGTGGGTGCCCCAAAGCTATTTTTGCAGTTGCAGTTCAGGGCGCCCCCTGGAGGAAAGGAACGGGAAATCACTTCTGAGTACTCTCTACCTGGAAAACCCTGGAAAAGGGTCTCCATCAGTCAGAACTTGACTTGATGGCACAGCCCCAAGGGAATAATATATATGTCCAGCAGCCGGAAGAAAATGATCCTGACCGTACAAACAAAAAGCCCTTTCCCCATCCGTGCATGGATTTCTTACCAGTCTCCCAGGTGGTCCTTTTCCAAGTTGACTTTGTTTTGGAACCAGAGGTTTTTCCCTCTGGAAAATCCTGGAAATGGTCCCGTCCAGCGCTTCTGGATGGAACCGAAATCCAGCTGGTTTGACAGCCTGGCCCGACGGCAAGTCCCGTCAGCAGGACGGCCAGGGATGGGAACGATGAGACTTGCATTCCTTCCATGACTAGAGGGTTATAGCAAGAGCCCCATCAGGGCTAAACAGGACACAGAACGAGGCCATCCTTCAGTCCCATCCACCGAGGCGGTGGTGTCTCCTCTTATCCTCCATCCGGGCATCCGAGCCTCATACTCCCATCATCGATACATTCTGTTCCATTTTGCTGGTTTCATTCCTTTCTTCGTTATTTTCTTGGGGGTGGGGAGGGACCACCACACAAGCCGAGAGGCCTGTTTCCCCAAAGACACCTTCTGCTTTTATTTTTGGGAGAAAGTTGCGGTTCTCAGCTCCTCTTCTCCTGCCATTGGAGGCCGAGATTCACGCTGCTTGCAAGATGTCTGAGTAGACCAAGCCCTCTCTCCCTCTCGCCCCCCTCCGCCCCTTCTTTTCCTTTATTTTTTGGTGTAGTGGCCTTAATTAGCCCGGACTGCTCACTGCTCACTCTTGCACCTAACGTTCCCTCCCCGTTTCTGTCTCCTTCCTTTTTTTCCAGAGACGGTGAGAGCCATGACCCACGTGATCAACCAAGGAATGGCCATGTATTGGGGGACATCGCGATGGAGCTCCATGGAGATCATGGTATGGCGGGCAAGGGCTTCAGGAGAATCATGGCATCATGGAGTTGGGGGGGATCCGATAAAAACCCATCACATCCAATCCCCTGCCCGAGGCAAGAATCCAAATCAAAGCAGATCTGACAGAGGGTGGTCCAATTTTCTCTTGAAGGCCTCCAGCGTTGGAGTGCTCACCAGCTCCTGAGGTCAGTGGTTCCATTGTCATACTGCTCTAACAATTAAGAAGGTTTTCCTGATATTCAACCTAAATCTGGATTCCTGTAACTTGAGACCATTATTAATATGTGCCCTGCACTCTGGGATGATCTAGGACAGATCCTGCCTCTCTTCAGTATGGCTCCCTTTCAAGTATTCAGGTCTGGCTAGACCGCCTCTTGAATAGTGTGTGCAGTGCTGGACACCCCATTTGAAGAAGGGTTGCCAACAAACTGGTTCAAGTTCAGAGGAGGGCAAAAAGGATGATCAGGGGGGGGGCTGGAAACCAAGCCCTAGGATGAAAGACAGAAAGAACTAGGTATGTTTAGCCTTGAGGAAAGAGGAGAGATAGGATAGCCCTTTTCAGATCCTTAAAAGATTGCCCTGTTCAAAGACGGAATATCAAGAAAAACTTCTGAACTGTTAGAGCAGCATGACAAGGGAACTGATGGCTTCAGGAAGTGCTGAGCCCTCCAACGCTGGAGGCCTTCAAGAGAAAATGGGACCACCCTAGAGGCCTTCAAGAGAAAATGGGACCACCCTCGTTCAGATCTGCTTTGACTTGCATTCCTGCCTTGAGTAGGGGGTTGGACTGGATGACCTTCGAGGCCCCCTTCCCACTGCATGATTCTAGGATTCTATCTCTAAAGGCAGCCAGATTTGTACAAAGGCTGTGCCCAGAACTAATATCCTTCCCTATGAGCCTCACACATAGTAGGATGGACATCATCATGCCTCGCTTAACGAGTGCCTCGCTGAGCGATGAAATCGCTTAACGAGGCACTCTGGGCCATCGCTGGAGCATTCGCTCAGCGATGGCCCCTATGGGGTTTTTTCACTTTGCGAAGATCGCTAAGCGATTCACTTAGCGATCTTCGCATAACGAAGCCGGGGAGAACAGCTGATCTGCGGTTCCAAAATGGCCGCCGGAAGGTCCGCGCCGCATTTTCGCGCCCTGCCCTCGCTTAACGAGGGCGCGAAAATGGCGGCGCTATGAAGAAACATCGCTGAACGGTGAGTTTTCAAGCCATAGGAACGCATTGAACGAAGTTCAATGCGTTTCTATGGCTTTTTTTATTCCGTTTAGCGATGTTTCACTATAGCGAAGGTTAATCCAGAACGGATTAACCTCGCTATGTGAGGCACCACTGTAAAAAGAAGCCAGCCATGCTCCTGAGGCAGGATCCATCCCCAGTTTAAACAGGTTGTGTTGAAGTCCAATTGCACTGAGGCCAGATTAGGGCCCTTTTGCTGAAAAAGTACCAAAAAAACCCATAGAGAAATAAGTAAAAGTATTGTTTTCTTTTCTCACGGAGGGCATCATAAAATACCTCACCCTCTTGCAGAGTAAAGACAATAATTTTGTGTAATTTTGTTTGTTTGTTATAGTTTACATCCCATCACACACACACACACACACACACACACACACTTTTCTGGTTTTTCTGCCAGCCTTATCCTCAACCCCTTGGTGTGTGCTGCTTCTCATCCCCCTCCATCTCGGCTCTCCCAAAGGGACAGACGGCTCTTCTCCCGTCAGAGGTTGGGAGGCGAACGTGTCACAGTGATCCAAGCAGACAGCTGTGCTCAGACACCGTGTGGCGTTGCCAAATGTGTTTTGCTTCTCTAGCTTTCTCTCCGATGGGGAAAGGGGAATGGACAGGGCATGCCAGATCAGGCAGGGAGACGTGGGAGTTTCTACGGAGTGGGAGGCTGCTTTCTAAGAGTTGTCCCTCCCCGGATCCTGGTGGCGGGAAAGGGTGCAGAGGCTTATCCCGATGGGGCCAGGCCCAAACTAGTCTTTGGGTTCCCCCCCGGTCAGGCTTCAGCTTCTGCATGGTGTCTGTCTCTGGGGGCCGTTCAGCACCTCTCCTGTCCCAAGATAAGAAGTAACCAGGACTTCTCATCTTGATCTGCTGGATTTTGGGATCACGCACGTGGGCCCTTCCTGATTGCTTTGGGACATCTTTTTTCCTTTCCCCCCCCCTCGGCAGGAAGCCTATTCAGTGGCTCGGCAATTCAACCTCATCCCCCCCATCTGCGAACAAGCAGAGTACCACATGTTCCAGAGGGAGAAGGTAGAAGTACAGCTGCCAGAGCTTTTCCACAAGATCGGTGAGTGCTGTGCGCCGGCACAGGTTCAGAAAGGCAGCGGAGGATGCTATTAGGCAGGACAGGAAGGGGAGGAGATTTTTCACACATTCCTGTGGGTGGATCTGGCTGCATTCGTCTTGCGCGTTGGACCTCGGAAGAGGCATTCCTGTTAAGGAAAGGGACTGCCTCTTCCGGATGAAGAATTCCTAAACAGAAGCCTGTGTTTAAAGGACTCCTGTTTGGAAGAGGTGATTTATATCTGCAAGGGGCATTCCTTCCTCCGGATGGGAATGCCTCTTCCTGATGGGGAATTTCTCTTCCAAGCAGAATTCCGTATTTGAAAGACTCCTATTTGGAAGAGGGGATTTATATCTGCAGGAGGCCTCCGTTCCTTAAAATGGGAATGCCTCTTCCTGATGGAAAATTCCTTGCCTCGATAGGGATCTAAAACCTAGCCTCTCACACAGCTACTTCCTCCCTCTTTATCATGTCCAAGATAAGCTATTACTTATCAACTAGAAGTGACACCTGAAGTGATGGAATTGTGGCGTTTTTTTTGGCTAAAGCCCCCATATGTCTGACTCAGTTCCCCTGCAGACCTCTGGGGGCTGTAGTCCCTGACTTCTGAAACTCCCATGGCCTAGTTCCTATTTCTAACAGTATCTTCCCCTACTGTGAAGCGTAGAGCAGAAGAAGAAGAAAAACACTGATCACCATAATCACCCATCTCCTGAAAAGGACAAAAGCTGATCCCACAGCTTGTAAATACTCAGCTCCCAAACAAACTGCACCAGAGTTCCTACTCCAGTCCTCTGAAGATGCCAGCCACAGAGACTGGCGAAACATTAGGAAGAGCAGCCTTCAGACAACACGGCCAAAGAGTCTGAAAAACCCACAACAACTAGGAGAGCAGAAGCTTTTGTTGAAGGAGTAGTTGGAAAACTGCTGCGGGGAGCAACTGGATGTGCCGTTCTGCAGGGCCACCTCTGAGCACTCATTCTGCCAGCCCCCCCCCTTTGCCTCGGACTCCCACCTTCCTTGTGTGGCATCGGGGGGGAGGGGGAAGAATCACTGAGCATTTGGCTAAGCAGTTTGCATAACCTCCCTTTGCTCGTTGGCACCAGAATCCAACTCTGGATTAAAGATTAAGAGGCTCTTAGCATATTAATTATCACTAATATTAATCATGGAAGTCACGGAGGGTTTAGGAATGGCAGCCTTTCATCTGGGGAGTTAATCCTAATGGAGAGCTTGTCTGGGCATGAGCCACGTGCTGAAGAAAGCCCTGGAGACTTTGGCTCTCAAAGAGTATCACCACGGAGAATCAGCAGGCAGAATCCGTCTCCTGAACATGTTCTCCTGTATATTTTTGTAATGATTGAGTGATTTGATTCCAGCTGATTTGACTTGACTGGCATTTTAGGTTGTGTGGGGAAGGGATATGCGAAGGGTTTCAAAAGTTGATCCACCACTCCAGACGTTTTCGAGCCATTGGAGGCCCTCTTTGCTCCCGTTATAACCCAGCTGTCTTTCCTCAGGCGTGGGCGCCATGACCTGGTCCCCCTTGGCGTGCGGAATTGTTTCGGGGAAGTACGACGGCGGGATCCCCCCTTACTCGCGGGCCTCGCTCAAAGTGAGTTGGCGACGGGATTCATTCCCATGGGGGGGGCAGAATCGGAAGCGAATCTGTAGTGGGTTTGGGGGACACACATACCCCCAGGGGCTCAGCCCGTTACAATGACGGCATATGTCCCTCTCTCTTGCCTTCCGCATGCCCAAGGGCTACCAGTGGCTGAAAGACAAGATCTTAAGCGAGGAAGGACGGCGGCAGCAAGCTAAGCTGAAGGAGCTGCAGGCCATTGCGGAGCGGCTAGGCTGCACCCTGCCTCAACTTGCCATCGGTAAGCGGGCCCCCAGGTCCCCCGGATTGATTTTTCAGGCGAGACACCCCTTGATGGGCATATACGACACGGCACAGCTGAGCGATGCTGAGAAACTCACACGCAGGATATGATGATAGCTCCCGGATACTTCTAGATTTACTTGGACCCCCTGCCATTGATACCGGAGAAACCTTGTGATTAAACACGGAGGCTCTGGTTAGCCATCCTGGAGAAACGTAGTGAATGGGTGGCTCAGTCTTTGTTTTAAAGGCATTTAAAGGTTACCTCGCCTCATTGGGAGGTAGCAAACTTTACCACCCGTCATGGATGGTGTCAAGATCTGTTCCTGAAATCCTAGAACTTTAGAGCTGAACAGGATGCCCTGAGGATCATCTAGCCCAGATATTTCTGAGGCTTTTTTTTTTGCCAGGGCCATAAACACAACATGAAAGAAATCTAGGCCAAATCAGGATGGCATAAGGCACATAATGAACCTTATAAGGTGGTGTGTGAAGAAGTGTTTCCATTCTGCGGTCCCCTTCAAAGGGGACACGTGGCCGCCATTGAGAGTGGCTGATACAGTGGTGCCCCGCTTAACGATTATCCCCCTTGATGACGAATCCGCTTCACGACAATGTTTTTGTGATTGCAATTGCGATCACAAACTTAGGTTTTAATGGGCTTTTTTCACTTCCCGACGATCGGTTCCCTACTTCGGGAACCAATTCTTCGCATTATGACAATCAAAACAGCTGATCGTCGGGTTTTCAAAATGGCCGCCGGCTGCTCAAAATGGCTCCCCGCTGTTTTTAGGAGGTATTTTTTGCTGCACAGGCACCCAAAAATGGCCGCCCTGTGGAGGATGTTTGCTGGACGGGCAGGTATTTAGCCCAATGGGCTTTTTTATTTTGCTTGACGAGGATTTCACTCTACAGCGATTTCGCTGGAATGGATTATCCTCATCATGCGAGGCACCACTGTATACAGACCAACCCTCAGCCATTGCTGGAAACCTCCAGCTCACATCATCCAACCACTGCTTTAAAAATCTCCCCTCACGCTCTGCCTTTCACTTCGCAGCCTGGTGCTTACGGAACGAAGGCGTCAGTTCCGTCCTTCTAGGGGCATCGAATGCAGACCAGCTAATGGAGAATATTGGAGCAATACAGGTGGGGGCCCCTTCGCTTCTCCAGCTTCAAGGCTCTAGACCACAAGGTCTTCCGTTTGCATGCCTCCGTTGTTTCCTGTGACTTCCCTCCTTTTTTCTTAACAGAGGGAATCCATTAAGGAGGGGGCGGAAAGCAGAATATCGTCATTAAGAGTGAAGTCTTTAGACTGGGAGCAGGGGAAGCCTTTTGCTTGAGGAGCACCGATACCCACTTTGAGATATATTTGTTTATTTAAAACATTTGTACCTGCTTGATATCACAGGATGTCAGGAAGGGTTATAGAGCGGTTTAAAAACAGTTTGAAAGCAATATAAAACCCAACCGTTTGATTCAAGCATTAAAACTATTGCATTCAAACCTCTGCAGGCCCTCAACCCACTTCCAGTTTCCAGTTATTCAGGGCTTTGTAAATCATTTATGTATTCATTAATTTAAAATATTGTTACCCCTGCCTTTCTCCTTCAAAGCACCCAAGGTGGCTTAGCGCTTTAAAAAAAAAACCACAATATTTAAAAGCGAAACATGCCAAGTATACACGTATTTTCAAAGAATGAAACAAGTCTTCTATTAAAACCAGTAAATAAAATCCAGACTGAAAAGCACATTTAAAAACATCAGCCTGCCTTTCTCCTTCAAAGCACCCAAGGTAGCTTAGCGCTTAAAAAAAAAAAAAAACCACGATATTTAAAAGCGAAACATGCCAAGTATACACGTATTTTCAAAGAATGAAACAAGTCTTCTATTAAAACCAGTAAATAAAATCCAGACTTAAAAGCACATTTTAAAAACATCAGAGCACAGCGATCCTTTTAAAGGTTGTCGGCAACACCTTGATCTCACACCGGAAGGTGTATTGTCAGCCAGAACTTCAAAACCGGCCTCATCCAGGCCTGAAACCTTGTGTGCCATCTAATCAGATCTGTTGGTCCTCTTCTCAAATAACTGCTGACATAGGGAAACTCCCTCCGTTGTGCACCAAACATCTGTTTCCCTGCTGTTTCCAGCGACTTGCTCAGCTACTGTAGGTGTACTAATTATTCTGGGAGAAGAGCGATGAGGCTGAGGCATACGCAGCTTCCAAGGGGAGGGTGTTGTGTGAAACCACTCCAGCTTTTTAGCCGGAATATCATAAGCGCTCCTGTGAAGATTAGACGAAAACATGGAATGGATCCACTGCCCCAGGGAGTGGGAGTCGTAGACGTCCAAAAGGCCATGCAGACCTCTCTTTTTAAAAAGCATATTAAACTGCAGTACTGCAGTCAAGACTGTGCTCACAATCTAAGTTTGATCCCGGTCGGATCAGGTAGCTAGCTCAAGGTGAACACTCAGCTCATGGGGGCGGGGATGCGTCGCCTGCATAATTAAATTGCAAACTGCCTCACTTTGCTATTAAGAAGGTTGGGCTGGAGCGGAAGAACCCTCAAGTTCACTTTCCCGTTCTTTATCCTTTCTCCCAACAGGTCCTTCCCAAACTGTCCTCTTCCATCATCCATGAGATTGATAGCATCTTGGGCAATAAACCTTACAGCAAAAAGGACTACCGATCCTAAACGGGGGTTATCCCCGTCTGCCTGGGACTTTCTCCTTAACTCCTAGCCTCTCCCGTTTGCTCGCTTAAAGCTATTACTGAAGCCAAGTGGCGTCCGATTTGCATCCGCGAAGAAGGGGCGGCGACGGATCCACAGACGTCCGGCGGAAAACGTTTTGCTCCGGAACCTCCCGAGAGGCTGCCTCGGCTTCTTCCGTCCACGTTGGTGTTTTTCGAACGGCAAGACAACTAAACCGGTTGGGCAGAGGACTTGAGAAAAGCTAGGTCAACATGGCGTCCTTTTAGCAATTTCTTATTTTTGTCCCCCCTGTTTTTCGCAGTTGTATTTTTCTTCCTCTAAAAACTTCTGTATGCACAGAAAGAATGTCACGGGGCTTGGTTTCTCTCCCTCCCTCCCTTACAGTTGGTCTAAAGCTGGCACTGATGAATAGATAACTTTTTTTATTGTCCTTTTTTTCCATGGGCAGAGTTAAGGGTTGGTTCAACCTTTCGTTCTATGGCCGTCTTTTAGGGTCTGTCCGTCCCGGCTTTCAGATGATTGCAGGCCTTCTCCCCTTCCATTTCCCCCTACCCTGTTGCACAGCCTTACGGCCTCTTCTTCTGCTCTAAAACGACACACCTTCGGGCTTCCCCTGACCCTGTGTGTTGTCGCCTACACACCCTCAGCTCAGGAGAGATGTGTAGCTAGGTTGGGAGACGGGCGGGTCATGCCAGCCAGCCCGCGTGGACCTCTGAAGCAAAGAAGCGGCCCCCGCCTCGGTGCAGCAGACGCACAAAACGGTGCCTTTGTTGGATAACGAGATCGAAGTCTCCCACATAGAGGGAAAATTAAACATCCACACCATTTTCCAGCACAAGCTGGACACAAAACGTCTCAAGGGGTCCCATCTCTGTCCCTCTGCATCTGCCTTTTGATGGGAGTTAGCTGTCCAGAATCTAAGCCACCTTGATTCGTGGCGTAGTGGACACGAAAAAGATCGAAGTCTCCCACATAGAGGGAAAATTAAACATCCACACCATTTTCCAGCACAACCTGGACACAAAACTTCTCAAGGGGTCCCATCTCTGTCCCTCTCCATCTGCCTTTTGATGGGAGTTAACTGTCCAGAATCAAAGCCACCTTGATTCGTGGCGTGGTGGACACGAAAAGAGGCAAATAATTTGCTTTTCAGAATGCATTTATTTTTAGAAATTAAAGCACACTCAGCTGGTTAAGGAACACTGGAGTGCAGAAACCATCTCTAACTCCCATGCCTCCAGACGTTTGGTGGACGATGGCAGTTGTAGTCAAACATATCTGGGGAGCATTGAGTAGAGGAAGGTTATAAGAACAATGTTGTGGGTTTTTCGGGCTCTTTGGCCATGTTCTGAAGGTTGTTCTTCCTGACGTTTCGCCAATCTCTGTGGCCGGGGGCGTTTGAGGGCGGCCGCCCGTTCCCTTGAGC